TAGGCCAAAACCACGTTGATTATGTCGACGCCAAAAAAGAAGTGAAGATGTAATTATAAGTAACCCGCTGTCGGATTCACCGACAAATTTTGCATTTGGTGCCCAATTTTTATCCAATTTGGTTCAGTGCGGAGCAAGCACCAAATTTTCTAATGAATCGAAAGTTCTGCGTGCTAACAGAGGAGTTATCACTCTTAAGTCCAGCCTTAGAACACATTCTTAAACATAAAAAATAGCGAAATCGTCATTTTACTAGTTCTCCTATTTAGTGTAACATCTATATCCTAGAATGAGTGCTTCTACTTCATCTCGTTCATATTCTAAACCACAATACACATCGGAAAATGTAAAAGATGCTGTTGCAGCTTATAAATCTGGTTCAATGACATCTGTTGAAGCAACAAAAACATTTAAAGTACCAGAAAGTACTATTCGTAATCATGCACAGAATTCGCAATTGAGAACAGGTGTTGGTCGAAAAGCAGTATACGATAATAAAAAGGTTCATAATAATTCAATATATGAAACACGTAAGAAACGGTTATGTAATTTTCTTAATCGTTGGAAAAATGAATTAAAACGTATGCGGGAAAAGAAATTAGAGAGAGCTCGAAAAATAGGTTTCACTGAAGAAATTCGAGTTGGCTGGTTTAATTTATTACACGATATTATGTCAAAAAATGACTTACTTGACAAGCCAAGACAAATCTTCAACTGTGACGAAACCGGATTTTCTGATCAAACAAAAGGTAGACCCGCATGATCAAAAATTTCAGCAAAATTTTGTATATATAGAGCAAAAGTTCCTAATGCGAACGGGAAAATTTTCAAGCGGAGTAAAATCCATATAACTCCGTTATTTCTTGACAAAATGAAAAGTTATTAAAATGCGAAGTTCTTGGTCATCGCAACAATTGATCTGTAAAAACATTTTTGAAAAAGCTTCTTTCGTTTATTTGTTATAAACGTTTTATTATAGGCATGTTTATTCCGTTCGGATTAGGGCACGTTTCCTGTTACGAACGTTTCACTTATTTTTATTCCCTAATGCGAACGGTCCGTCCCATTCAAATACACGTGTTTTTTTACAGAATAGAGAAAAAACACTGCTTCAAGTGGAAAAAAGTCAAAATCGACCCAACATATTGTTGGCAAAAATATTCTCTGTATTCTCAGGAATCTACTGATCTAATAATTTTAAAAAGATGTTGAGCCTATCGGGAAATGCGACGGGTATAAGTGAACTATATGCTCCGTTCGCATTAAGGGAATGACTTTTTTCGAACGTTTCTGTTTCTTTTGTGTCCTAATGCGAACGGACTGATTCAAATACATGCATTTCTCGAGGCATCCAGTAAAAAAGTATTTCGCGCTACCAAAAGTTCAAAATTACGATATATTCTTGGAACAAAAGGTGTTCAAAACATCCTGGGTTATAAGTGTGCACCATCTTAGTTGATTTGGAGTACTTTAACATACATCAGTCTTCTTTCTCATTCGCCGAATTTTCTTTCTTCGCGTATGCGATTGTTAGCTTATTTTGCTGGTTGGTTGTGGAGATAATGTTCTTAGAGTATCAAGTAGTGTAGCTCTTGCAACCATATCTGGACTTAAACCGTGCCTAGCACCACCATGAATCTGATTTTTCGTTGTCATCAGCGCTATCATTATTATTTGTCAAATCATCTTGAATAAAGAATTGTTGGCAAAGAATGATTTCGGACTAACTTTTTATTGTGGGGGATGATTCATTCACTATCGTCGTCATCTAAATTAAGTATGTTAAATCCTATATATTTCGATGGCAGTTTTTGATTACGTTGTTTTGTACATGTTTCTTTCAATTTAGTATTAATACTACTGAGGTCTACTCGATCAACAGCTAAAAACAAAGATCAAACATATAGTCTTGTATAATGTAGTTCAACTTAAATTACAGAGCACACCCTCATCATCGCTGTCTTCGATAAAACTAGGAGTCAAATTCCGACCAAGTTTTGTTTACTTACGTAAAGATGTTTCTTTTTTTTTACGTTTATTATTGGTGTTTATATTATTGATTAATTTTGATGAATTGCTAACAATAGTTGATGATGATGGCTGTTCACTCTGACGGTTCAAATGATCAAGATTTGGGGTTAAGATGACATTTGATGCGATGTTATCAACAAATTGTTGAACATAGTGTGACGGGCTCTGAAGAGCGTCAAATCGTTGAGAACTTTGAACATATGGTGAAATATAACTAAGACCACATGGTGATGCAACTTGAAGTTGTGATGGTAATATAGATACAGTTGTTAAAGGTAATTGAGCTTTACTTTAAATGAAACGTTCGAAAAAGTCATTCCCTTAATGCGAACGGAGCATATAGTTCACTTATACCCGTCGCATTTCCCGATAGGCTCAACATCTTTTTAAAATTATTAGATCAGTAGATTCCTGAGAATACAGAGAATATTTTT